TACCGCTATTTGACAAATGCAACTAGTGGGGAGCTTCCCCTGTAAGATATTTGACAAGGTTTAAAGCTCACCCCAGAATACGTTATGAAAATCCGAAACGTGATGGGAATAGTTATCAATTGACGCACCCTAGCTATAATGTCACGTGACACGTACCTAGATTCGTACAGCCTAATTTGTAGCCGGATGCAAACGCGTCCAGCTGTGTGACAGTACCAAGCTGACCAAGCACATTATCATTGGGTCGCACTGTTTCTCCTCTGGCCATTTGAGCCAGTGGTTAAATTGTCCACTATAGAATTGTCTTGTTGTTGCAGAAAAAATGAGCGACCCACTGTTAGCTATGCGCTAACAAAAGTATCAGACCATGCAGCATAGACTTTGTTGTTAGACAGACCCGCTCTCTCCTCGGTGCACCATCCTTTCTATGAGCTACCGAGGTAAATATTAAAAGCTGACCTACCTTGCGCGCCATCTTTTTGCGTGATGTCTTGATGACAATGGTGAGGGCAAAAGCTGAAGTTCTATCGGTGGTGTCCTCTACAAACCTGGGAGTTAAACATTCTCGCAGAGCAAAGTGCTATCAAATTTCGCAATACCAAGAAGTTGGATCATGAGCCAATGATCCAAGACACTCCCTCAGATCGAACTCTCATCCAAACGAGATAGATTTCCACCAAAGCTTCATCAAGTCTTTGTGTACGTCCTAGAGCACCTTTATTTCAATGACCAAAACTCTCACCAACTTTTGGCTGGCCTCAGATGGCCACCAAATACACGCCAAAGCTGATATTGATATACACCGGATGAAACAGATTGTGACGCATAAATATTGGAGGCAGTCTTTAGGATATTCGAGAGAGAGATCCATACAAGTAGAGTATATATATTTTTCATCTTCCTGATTTGGCGTCTTGAGACCCATGCAGGTTTTTATCGGAAGATACGTACTTAAGTAGGATGACTCAATTTAACGTTAAGAACACTCACACTCTGATTTCATTTGCAGATACCACTCGAGGTTAACCCTTACCACGTATAAGTTCTTCTGTGAATACCCACCACAGGGAAAAGCGTGGAAAACTTGTAGCTATCCGAGTGTGCTTTCATCGTCTCACAAGTACAATACCACCGCGAGAGAGAGTGGTGTGTGGATTTTACTGGATTTGAATTAGCTTTCTCCTGTCTCGAATAGGGTAGGTGTTCAAGCTATCCAAACCTTACTTGGGAGACCGGCCAAGACGGTGTATCACTGCACCATCCAACCCTACAAGTAGAGCAGTTGATACAAACTGGGAATACAATGTCGAAAGGGTTGAGATTTTCAATTTTAGCAAGAAGATTCACAAATTGAGCTTTGTGTGCGCACCGCTACTTCGAATGCGAGAGTGCAGCTAACGCTATAAACATCGCCATGGTTGGATGGTGCGGTAGAACATCGTCTTGGCCGGTCTCCCAAGTAAAGTTTGGATAGCTTGGACACCTATCCTATTCGAGATAGGAGATCGCTGGTTCGAATCCGGCAAAACTCAAACACAATTTTCGCAGTGCAAGTTCAAATGGTTGACGATGGCATGCTTGGTTAATCAAGGGGGTTGAATTTTCCTTCTGTGGGTACTTACAGAGGAGGGTAGATTGTTTGTGTGAGCAAGCATACCTCATAGTGGTATTTGCAAATGGAATCCAAGGTATAAGTGCCTCCAACGTCAAAAGAGTCATCCATCATATTTAATTAAATCATTTTATTGTCCTTTCTGAGTCTAAGACTATGTAGGATATGCAGGTCCTTTCTGCCTACAGGCCAAGGATACATATACCAGTAGTATATCCCCTCCTATGCCTCCCATACAGCTCCCCTCAAACAGTAGCTCCCCTCAAACAGTACCACCCCTCATAAGTCCTCATTCGATCATACACTTAGAGGAGCTCTTAACCCTTCATTATTTCCCCTATCCAGCCAACGAAACGATAGCCATTTGCGGGTCTGTGGCAGCCGGGAAAAATCGCAAAAACCACTGGGTGCGGAGCTCTCCTAATACCGACATTAGAACTAAATCCGAAGACATAGTGACCCTTCTGATGCGTTCGAAAAGGCCGGCCACCTGGGCGCTGCAGACTTATGGATACCTCAGAAATTCACCCTCTGCCTTTCTAGCCTCCTTCCAACTCCTTCCAACTCCTTCCCGAAGGTCGTGCTGAAATGTCAGAAAAGTCTTGACAGAGCGTGATTGCTGTATAGTAGCTTAGCCCAACTTCTTTTGTACCGTCCAGGGCGCTGGGGAGTGCCGTTGACTCTTCGACAATTAAAGCTCTTCTGGCTAATTAGCCTAAATCTTGGTCTTGACACCCACAAAAATTCCAAAGTTAAAAACCACTCGAAAATATCGGTCCCAGCATGGTCTTCAGAGACCTCTTTCCCCTCTCGCTCCACATCTCAGGCGCCTATTCTTCCTCAAGTTGTTTGTCCCATTAGAGCAACAGTCTCATATAAGCCAGGACACAGGCTTTGTATATTATAACTTAATTTCCTTATTGCGGGTATGCGTAGCGTCGTGGGGGACTATTCTCAACACCTGTCAGTGGTGTCCCCTACGAACCTCCAGCTCTCACTGTCGAGTCTGCAGAGCCGAGATTGAGTAACAAAGTCCTCACTTCGACGAGGATTCCCCATCGCTTTCGCGGTCTGTATCGTCTTCATCTCTCAACACATTCTGTTCAGATTAGGTCCTGGTCAACAATGTCTAGCCTAATTATGCTATGTTGCAGGATACTGTTCCAATTATTCATAGAGTCATCATCAGGATTGTGAGTAGTTTCGGTTTTGGTGTGGGTTGTTAGATTGATACCTGAGCGTGTCGCATAGTAGTCAGATATGCGACCCGAGTAGCATATACACGGTAAACCTCAACCCCAAACTGATGATGCGAATCAAGTTTTATATGCTACGTCCTATATGGCTAGCGTGGTTGGAATATGGGGAATTTACTTGTAGATAGATAAAGAGGTTGTAGCCCTCTGATAGTTGGGACAAGTCTTCTACAATATTATATCGGAATCAATACTAGCCTCACATTAAGCAATTTCATGAATTATTTCCAATGTCTGTGATAACAGACATACATATACAATGTCGACAACAACTTTAAAGTCGATAACATTCCCCTATCACCATTATCATGGAGCTAACCACGATCAGATCAGATGGTAGGGTCGGAGCCCTACACATCACCAGCCCTTGATTATGGAGGAAAAGCCATCCGATGAGTTTCCGGCGTGTACTCAGCACCCGATACGGAGATGGTGGATTGGATCAAGTCGGCCTCAAATGGTACAAAGAAGGGAGATAAAGATGAATATGCGCACCTCATGTGGTCCTGGTGTCTAGGCCTCGCCTGGCTGGGGCTGAAGGTTTTTTGAGACTGTTTCCCGCGCACGCAGTTTCCATTGCTACCATTGATTTTTTTTTTTTTTTTTTGGGTAGAAGGTTCCGTGAAAAAGGTGGCCGAATTCCACGGGTAAATACTGAGCTGAATGGCTATTCATCAAGGGGAATATATCAATGATCTTTTAAGTAACATGAGAGGCAAGGAGCACTAAAGAAGGTCTGGCCTGGGTCAGAGGAGCCCAATGAGCTAGATAGTCATAGACTCAAGTAGTACAATAAAAACACAAACACACACATACGTAGCGTCGTAAATTTGTAGTGAATGATGGCCGGTAATCAACGAGGCAAGCCCCTGTTTGCAATTGAGGTGACGCCTTTATCGGTCGTTGAGGCGAGATGATATGTGGTTAGAGAGAGGTTGAGGACTCAGAAGATAATGGTGAGTGCTGCATGATTGATAAGTCGTCAAATGGAGATACAGTTGTGTTTACTTCCGACTTCGATTCGGAAGCGATTCTTCTTTGCTATCCTAGATATACAGAGCATACTGAGCGATTACACCGGCATCACTGGAAGGTGAAGAATTCGATTTTGCCGGCCATCCATCATGTAAACATAGCATCGGTCATGTGTCACAGCTAGATAGCTGAATACGCATGAAATGATTTATAAATAATAAAGGAAAGTGAGAAACATGGTAAGCGCATGCATGCGGAGTGTTAGGATTATTGAGAGAGTGGAGTCACAGTGGCGAGAATAGATAGAGGGTAAGATAAGGTATGTGGAGAATATCTATAGTAGTGCAGTAAGATTTATGGAAATGTGTATGTGCTAAATACAGAGGGTGAGGGGGTTTAACAGAATCACCCAGCTGACTAAGCATCATTTTCCAACACGGAGGTTATCATAATGGGATCACATGATGACACATCTACTTTTACAATCTAGATGAATCTACAATGTAGATTACACACGTCGGTCGCTTGACGCGTGATCCGCCAGACGTTAAATAAAGATAAATAAAATACACACGTCGGTCCAAAGGCAACTTTGAATCTAGTTACATACCTCTATTGTTTAACTAACCCTGGCTTCAATTAAAATCCCCCCTCTCACAAACATTTCTCCTTCTACACACACTATTCTAAAGCCTAAGCTGAATACATCAAGCATTGATAAACCGTGCATAAAAGAAAACCGCGTCATACAATTGGCGCTTCTGCCTATGTTGGAGCTACAGGCTCAACGCCCTCCCACGCACCTGTCCAATCATCCCAATCAAGGCTGTCGGTAAAAGGATCACGTTTGGGTAGTGTGAATTGTTCTATGTATTTACGATATTCAGGTTGTCGATAGGACACTGGCAGGGGTCTGATTTAGCTCATTAGCGAGGCGCTTGGAGTAGAGGAAGGAAGGGGAGATGGAGAAGGAAAAAGAGGAGACAATGCTTTATGTATATGGAGATACCAGCTAATTGACATTATTTACCGACTTCGTGACGGACAGCTGACTTCGTGACGGCACCCAATTTGTATTACTTCGTGTTTTACCAACAAAGACCTCGACGATCCTGGCCCCAGCCAAACTCCTTACGAGCATGGCATCACTCTAGAATATGACGAGCTCCCAGACAAACCTATATATGACCAGTTTGACGCGCCCAACCCATCTGGCTCCTTTAGAGAGGCACTAGGAAGAAGTGTTGCTGCTGCAGAAAGCCGAGCGAAGGAAGCTGAATCATTATTTGGCAGTATTGCCTCGCAATTGGACAATCATTGGGCCGCACCAAGTCACAACTCACTCCCTGCTAATCAACGTTTGGCCCTGAAAAACTTCTGCAAAGATCTAGCTGAGGTTGCTACCTGTCACTTTGACGCCTACATAATCGGAAAACAGGTATCAAAAATTGAACCAACTCCTGAGCCTTGCCGAACTCCGCAAGCGCCGGAGTCTTTAACATACGTCAAGGTGGATCGCAGACCCCAGGGCATCCACACCGAGAGTATACACAGTAGTAGAGAGCCAGCACGTCCCAGCCCAAAAACACAACCGCAACAACATCGCGCTGACGATCGTCTGTTTGTCCGCATACCTGATGGAGATAGGCTCAGGGGTCTCTCAGCGTACGCTATCTAGTCTCACTTGAAAGCTAAGCTAGGAAACGAAGGACGAGTTCTAGTTAACGTGCAGTCTACAAAGACCGGCTTCGCCCTTTGCCCTAAAGATGGAGAAACTTCTAAACTTAAGGAAGAAATCTCGAAGGTGGGTATTTTTGATAATGTTGCAGTCGAAAGTGCTTCACCGTGGACTTCATAAAGGATTAAAAATGTCCCAAAAACGTTCGGAACCATCAACGACGAACTAAAATACTGCCTTCAACCAGTCACTGCCGCTGCTATGCACGAAGCACTCTCAGCTGCCGCAGGAACAGCTCCAGTAGCCATCCTTGCGTCGTGCGATAATGAGGAGAACCCAGACTCCTCCTCTACAACATGGATTGTTCGCTTTCCAGAAAATCACCAACGTCTTACTCGTGTTCTCTTCCTGTTTGGTTGCCGTACAATCACAAAAACTCTACCTCGGCGCTACACAGCTGCTCAGTGCAATAGATGCTGGCTATGGCATAATACCCGAACTTGTGCGTCCTCCCTCCGGTGCCGCCTATGTGGTTCGGGAACCTATACTGAAAACGAGCATGGTAACCACTGCGCAGCCGCAGGTGAGCACACCTTTCCACCTAGATGCGTTCACTGCCACGGCCCTCATGCCGCTGACGATGCAAAGTGTGAGCTCAAGCCTAAAGCTACGGGACCACCTTTGACCAAAGCTCAGGTGAGTGCGGTCCGAAAAGTCAATGCAGAGACCCGTATGCGCAGACAAGCAGAAGCGGGCTGTGCGAAGCCTCTTCCCATTCCCCAAGCCAACTCAGCAGCGCGTAGCGACAAGCTGTCATCATCTCAACACCTCAGCCCTGCCAGATCAAGGACAGCACAGGATACACACGAAATTGTTACCAAGAGTCCCTTTGATGCTGTCAGGATTGCCTTCTGTATAATCTATATATGTGGAGATAACCAGAATCTAGTGTTCTATGATTCTGGTCTGGACTTTTGGTCGAGCAGTTATGCACCTATCTCATGCATAGTGTAGGATGGCACCCTTTAGCCTGAATACCACCTCTGTGACCCATGTCTCCTTCTTGCTGTCTACATACTGCTTCTGACAGATGCCCTTTACGTCGAAGAGGATCAGAGCAATGACAAAATGGAAGCATAATGGAAGGCTATAAGTCTCACAAGGCTTCGTCCAAGCCATTAACGGTCTTTTCCTTGAACGTCGGCAGAGGTGCTGTTTCGCATGAGATCGCCCTCAACGAAGCTTTTACTATATTAGCAGATATTATCTTGATTCAGGAACCTTTCATTTTTCGTGATTGCGCCTGGCAGATTACAAAGTACCATCCATCATATGAGACTTTCTCCAATTGATGACTGATCAACCACTAGGCCTAGAGTGATCTAATACATGCACAAAGGGGTTGGACTACGTGCAGACCAAATATATAATAATCTCTCTGGCGAAATACTCACTCTCCGTCTGAAATCACCCTCAAGGAAAGCCTTGCATATCATCAACATTTATAACGCACCTCCAGGCTCTACCGGTGGAAGCGCTTTACACCCTCTTCTCACACTCTCCATTCCAACCAATTGCAGCTCCATTGTGATAGGGGACCTTAACCTTCATCACATAAGGTGGTAGCCTTCCTGGCCAAACAGTCCCTCAACGGGTGCTGAAATCTTCTTAGAATGGGCAGATAAAAACAACTTTGTTCAACTCTCTCTATTAGATGTGGCAACGCATAACTGTGGAAATGTACTTGACCTAGCCTTCGGGTCCGGCCTTTAGCTCAAAGCGCAAAAAGCACTGTTGGCACGCATCTAGACACAACGTCAGACCACGCACTGCTCCTCACTAAGATCGATTGGGTGGGATATGTGGAACCACTAGAGAGACTTAGAGTCGATACACTAGACCCTGCACTATTTCGTCGCTTACTTTCCATCTCCTTAGGTGGACTCTGCACACTTCCGTCTCCTATTACCGAAAATTCCTTGGATAGTTTTGCTAAGGACTTAGTAGAGGCCATCCGGATGGCATATGCTTCAGCGGCTCGTCGCTCTTTAAGGCACGGTAAAGGTAACCCCTGGTGGAACAAATCTTGCAAATGCGCCCGCCAGATCTTCAAATCAGCAATGAAGACCCTTCTAACGGTTGAAAAGCTCAAGGAAGCGAGGAAAACTTATTGTAAAACTATCAAGATGGCAAAAAACACATTCTACATAGGAAAGATCGAAAAAGCTTGTACAGGCAAGGATATCTTTGCCATATCTAAATGGCACAAGTCCACAGTTAGATATCGCTCAACTCCTCTTAAAGACCCTAGGTTTCCTCAAAATCCTCCAGTAACAACACTAGCGGAGAAAAGAGAGGTCCTCATCGAAAACCTTCTTGTCAACCTTACTGAGGCAGGGGATATTCCTATGGACACTCCAGCGGTCCCGACACGCGCAATTGAGTTCCCCTCATTATCAATGGAAGAAATTCAAGCTTCAATACATAGGTGTAGCAATACAGCCCCTGGCAGCGATGAGATAACTTCTGAAGTCCTCCGACACGCATGGCCCCTTATTGCAGACCACGTCCACACTCTTTTCAACAGCTGCCTTTCACTAGGATACCACCCTCGTTGTTTCGCCAAGCCATACTGGTCATGATACCGAAACCTAACAAATCGGACTTCTCTTCCCCGCGATCATACCGCCCAATCGCGCTTCTATCAGTACTAGGGAAATGATTAGAACGGCTCATGGCCAAACGTATTGCCTGGATTTCTGTCCGGAAAAAGGTATTAGCCAGTCAGCAATTTGGAGCTCTCCCAGGGAGATCCGCAGTAGATCTTACCACCTGCCTTACACACAATGTTGAAAGATCCCTAAACAAAGGGCGCACAGCTACTTTGCTTACACTTGACGTTAAGGGCGCATTTGACGCTGTTCTGCCAGGTAGACTAGCGCGACGTTTGCGCGAGCAAGGTTGGCCTGAGTCTCTTGTTAAGTGGGTAAGCTTGTTTGCCACTGGTCGCTCGGTTCAAATTCGACGAGATGGGGAAACTGGCCCACTCCAGCAGGTCAACTGCGGACTTCCCCAAGGGTCACCCGCCTCCCCAATCCTTTTTATGCTTTACATCTCCCATATATTTAAAATGGGGAAAATATCTCAGAGGTTCGGCTATGCAGATTAAATTGCATTAATTGAGACTCGTGACTCACTCCAAGAAAACTGCGGCCGTTTGACAGCCTCGCTGCAAGAGGCATTGGCCTGGGGTCGAGGAGAAGGCATAACCTTTGATCCAGGAAAGATAGAACTTAAACACTTCTCCCGGAGACGTGTAGACAAGGATCCAAACTCCACACCGTCCATCAATTGTGAGGGATTTTCCATCTCCGAAAATGCATCTCGTCCCTATACAAGGTGGCTCGGAGCGTAATTTAATAAAAATCTCACTTTCTTTTTATTAATTTTGGTCCTAAGCTAACGCTATCTTTTCCACATTGGTTCAAGGACCGGTGGAGTCGGCAAGGATTACTGCGTACAGGGCCAACTCATTCCAACTGCATGAACTTCTACTGAAATTGTAGAAGTTAACAGCAAAACTAAAATCAAATTTGGAAGAAATACTTATTACGACCGACCTCAGGTTGACACTAGAAGACTCCCTCGAAAAATAAAAGAGTAACTGCTTTGTATTTGGACCTAAAGCTACGCACAATAACTAAAAGAAAAGACAAGGAGAGAAAGAGGTCTGCAGCCTCGCTGGGCTGAAAACTCTACCAGCTCGCTTCCGGGACCAACGCTTACTCAACCAGACTCCATATCATGTGATACCATAAACCTATCACCTGTAAACTCAAGCCGTAACAATACTGTTTGGTACAGATCCCGCGCTTCTCGCCCGTTCCCTTTCCTGCCACATCTTCCACGTGACTTTTTCTTATCTCCGCTGAGAGCGAAAGATTAGTTCGCAGATAACCTGAATTCAGCTGGTATCCTGCTATATATTTGAAGCCTTTTTTAGACTTCACCGAGGGTTGCTATACCCTCAAACTTCTTCTTCGGATTCCAAGATTCCGAAACCCAATACCTCGGACATCGAGACATCCTTCGTTGAGGCCATTGTTGCCTCTTCGGCCCGGGAATCCGATCGGTGATGCTCCCCACAGTTTCGACACTGGATGAGGGCCTTGCACTCTGATTCTGAGTGCATATTAGATCCGCATTTCCAGCAAGCTGGAGCGCGGGAAATCTCACTTTTAATGGTATGTATGTACTTTAGCTGGTAAAGCTTTGAAAGTTGCCAATGTATTACGGAATCTAGGGAACACTACCCGAGGCGTCACCCCAAGTCTCCTCCGGCGAGCTGTAATATCATGCGTACTGCCAATTGCATACTATGGAGCTGAAACGTGGTGGCCTGGGCGCGCCAGGACATTGGCTTGAACTCGGAACATTTCGAATTGTATCGAAGGGCACCTCCCTCTTTTCCAGAAAGTCATTTTAACCAGCGCCCGAGCAATTCTGCCTGTATATCTTACCACTCCGATCTCAGCCCTCTATTGTGAGGTAGGGCTG